ACCAAAACCAGCACAACTCTAGAACCAAAACCAGCACAACTCCAGAACCAAAACCAACACAACTCCAGAACCAAAACCAACACAACTCCAGAACCAAAACCAACACAACTCCAGAACCAAAACCAACACAACTCCAGAACCAAAACCAACACAACTCCAGAACCAAAACCAACACAACTCCAGAACCAAAACCAACACAACTCCAGAACCAAAACCGAATAAAACTCATTAACCAAAACCGAACACAACTGCATGTACGTCCGTGATGAGGATCAGAAAAGAGCACCATGGGCTCTTTAAGTTTGTGTTTACAATGTATTGATGAATAAAGTGAATAAATGTAACGTGTATTTACATTAGGGTTTCAAAAAGTACCAAATGAAAAGTATTGACTGATCTATTTACACAGTAACAAGATCTAATCTCACCGTATAAACTGTGCGTATGAATTATACATTATTCCCATAGTCACGTTGCTGTCCCCATTAATTCATTACATAACTATATGATGTTGTGATGTATGTACAGAGACGATCGCTCCAGCAAAACTCTGCATTAAAACGTGAACAGACCAGAAGGGTCAATTAAAGGAGATTACTTTGCTGTAGTTTTTTTTAAAGGATTTATATTTTCTGATTTCTAGAGTTGTGTTTTGTTTCATTCACACATGTTCACTCCCCTAGAATCATTTGGATCATTTCAGCCCTGGAATTGACAATTTTTACTGAACTAAAGGTAAAAGGAGCTGTTAACATGAAACCTGCCACTTCATGACATCACAAGGTGGGTCAATGCATGTGGAGTTTTGGAGATGTAGACAGACTAATAATAAAGAACATGAATTCATTAGTTGCACAGTTTTAATAGAGTCAAAAATGTCTCCCAGATTTGACTATTGCATCCAACAGACTCGACTCCATACCACATAACCAGTGGCTTTCACAGTCCGGCCCTAGCACAGCGGCATGCTCCACACACTTCCTGTTCATCATGCCCCCTCCCCTCCCCCTCCCTCGTGCATATATCCCTGTGCAACTTCCTCTGCATCAGCATCACATATAGTTTTACTGCCACTGCCGCAAACTCAAGCCCTCTCCAGCCCCTCCATCACCCAGCTGTTCAAACAACCGCTCCCACAACCATAACCATGTCCACAGGCTTCCCCACAACCGCTCCCACAACCATAACCATGTCCACAGGCTTTCCCACAATCTCTCCCACAACCAGTCCCACAACCGCTCCCACAGCCACACTCACAACTGGTCCTACTCCCAGAACCACTCTCACAATCTCTCTCCCAACCACAACCATGCCCACAATCTCTCCCACAACCAGTCCCACAACCACTCCCACAACCGCTTCCACAACCGCTTCCACAACCGTTCCCCCAACCACAGCCATGCCCACAATCTCTCTCACAACCATTTCCACAACCATAACCATGTCCACAGTCTTTCCCACAACCAGTCCCACAACCATAACCATGTCCACAGTCTTTCCCACAACCAGTCCCACAACCATAACCATGTCCACAGTCTTTCCCACAATCTCTCACACAACCAGGCCCACAACCATTCCCACAACTGCTTCCACAACCGCTTCCACAACCGTTCCCCCAACCACAGCCATGCCCACAATCTCTCCCACAACCATTTCCACAACCAGTCCCACAAAAGCTTCAACAGGTGCTACCATGCCCAGTATCTCTCCTTCAACCGCTCGCACAACCAGAGCCACAACCGCTCCCACAGCCATGCTCACAACTGGTCCCACTCCCACAACCGCTCTCACAGTCTCTCTCCCAACCACAACCATGCCCACAATCTTTCCCATAACCCCTCCCACAACCGCTCCCACAACCGTTCCCACAACCACTTCAACAGGCACTAACCAGCCACAACCTCCACAACCACTAACCACTAAATGTCCCACAACCACTCCCACAACTGCTCCCACAACCACTCCCACAACTGGTTCCACTCCCACAACCACTCTCACAATCTCTCTCCCAACCGCAACCATGCCCACAATATCTCTCACAACCAGTCCCACAACCGCTCCAACAACTGCTACCATGCCCAGTATCTCTCCCACAACGCTCCCCCAACCACTCCCACAACCACTCCCACAACCACTTCCACAACCGCTCCCCCAACCACTCCCACAACCGCTTCCACAGCCACTTCCACAATCACTCACACAACCACTCCCATTCTCACAACCACTCTCACAACTGCTCCACAATCACACCTCCAACCACTCCCACAACAACTCCTGCATCCACAACCTCTAAACCCAACCACTCACACAACCATTCCCCCAACCACTTATACGACCGCTTCCACAACCACTCCCACAACTGCTCCACAATCACACCTCCAATCACTCCCATCAACCGCTCCCCCGTCTTCTCCCACAGCCATGCCCCTCCATGTCCAGTTCTAGTCTCATTTCTCCACAGAGCAGGTCAGAGTACTGTGTCTGCTGGTATTTTATGGTGTCCTTAAAACACAAGAACTTACAAACGATCCAGTTTATAATTGTGGATACTTTAACCAGTCCATCGATTTTCATTTTGAAGAGCGTACGGAAACAATCGAACACAAAATAGATATTGATGGAGACATTATGAGGCCTGTGGGATCAATAGCAACAGAATGAATCAAAATCACAATTGAAATGGTTGTAATAGGTTTTATTCATGTGTTAGCATGATTTGAGATTTGATGATGTCATGATTTCAGAAGGAGAGCAGGCGTCTGTATACAACTGCAGAACCTTCACTGTTTTTGAAATCTCCAGACTTGGGATTTACAGATGTTGAACCTTGACAAAGTCCTTTCAGCTGACAATGATCACGTCTTTGGAGATGAATAATGGCACCACTTTCTGAAGCTACTGTGAAAAAATCATTTGAGTTCAGTTTATTTCTCCTGACAGAGAAGCTGAACTTTTTTGTTTTGGTTTCATGTGGATAGACCCAGGAATTAGAGACATGAAGCAATCCATGTGTCATTCGTTCATTCGTTTTTCAATATAAAACCAAAAATAAGAAAAGAAAAACACAACTATTTTCTTACTGTCTCCAAAACCAAAATGAAAAAACTGATAATGATTCGTTTTTTTAGTTTTTGATTTTGTGTTTAAATGAAGAATGGAAAAAATAGATGAAGTTTCCCATTCCCATTTTCTGTTTTCGTGACTTAAACTGCAGAATTTTGCTCCCCATACAGACTAAACCAAGACTAAACCAGGTCCGACCAGGCCAGCACCAGACTGGGACTGAGACCAGGACTTAGACTAGGAACAGGACCAGGACTGAGACCAAGACTGAGTTACAAACCGGGACTGAGACCAGGACTGAGATCCAGACCGGGACTGAGACCAGGACTGAGACCGGGAACAGTACCAGGACTGAGAACAAGACTGAGATCCAGACCTGGACTGAGACCGGGACAAGTCCGGGACCAGACCTGGAGTGAGACTGGGACCAGACGAGGACTGAAAACAGTTTAGTCCGAGTTTAGTCCTGGTTCAGTCCGTATGGGGCGCAAAAGTCCGGCATCGCAGTTTAAGTCACGGAAACGGAAAAGGTCCTGGTCTCAGTCCTGGTCTCAGGCCCGGTCTCAGGCCCGGTCTCAATCCCAGTCTAAGTCCTGGTCTCAGTCCCAGTCTGGTTCTGGCCTGGTTGGACCTGGTTTAGTCCTGGTTCAGTCCGTATGGGGAACAAAAGCCCACAGTTTAAGTCACGAAAACGAGAAATGGAAATGGGAAACGTTATCCGCTTTTTCCATTATTCATTTAAACACAAAATCAAAAACTGAAAAAATGAATCGTCATCTATTTTTTTCATTTTTATTCTGGAGACAAAAAATGAAGTTATTTTTCCGTTTTCTTATTTTTGGTTTTATATTAAAAAAACAAATGAACGAATGATACACGGATCTGAAACAAATCTGACAGTTACACCGCAAACACCTGAGAAGTCTGACCTGTCTCCAGCTCAGGTTCAACTCTACAGATTCTACAGTTTTGTGATGTCACGTGAATGCAATTAGCATATTGCAAAATCAGCACTTACTGTAACGCCCTCAACCACAATATAGGCCTGTTCTGACTTCCTACGGGCTTAGGAAACGCTGTTAACCCTGTAGTTTGTTCTGAAATGTCCCTGTGTGTCTCCTGGTTTTGTCGGAACTGTGCACTGTGAACTGAATTCTAATTTGACAACACGAATCACAATTCTAATCACAATTCTTTCAAATCATCCAGTCCTAAGCCTTTAAACTGCTTGTTTATTACCCAGTGCAGTTGAATGCCTCCAATGAGACACATTCAACAACTAGTTACGCAACACTCATCTAATCGGAGTAGCGCTATTCGGGTTTCTACCTGCGCGTAACCGTAGTGACAGGCGGATACCGGATGGCTTTTTTTTCCCCCTGCAGCACAAAATAATGATTTCTTTTCCGCTGCGCTCGGTCCGAGTCTGACCGAGACCTCCTCGAGATGTTTCCACCTGAAGCCACCGGCCGAGCCCCGCGCTATACGACAGTGACAAATAAACATCTCCAACCCGCGCCACCAACATTCACCAAAGCAGCTGTTTTCAGATCGCAAGTATTCCCAAAAGAGCTGAATGAGCAGAAACACCGTAGATGCGAGACAGGACACAGAGAGATCGCTTACTTGGAGAGGGGGATTGTTTTACCGCATTGAGGGGGGGAAAAGCGATAGAAACAAGAAGAGGGGAGAGATGAGAGGAGGATAGAGAGGTAGAGAGGTAGAGAGGTAGAGAGGTCCTGTCCCATCTCGGTTTGAGGGAGGAGTACTCAAGACATGCATTGCTTCATTCAGAGGGGGCGCATGGAACTGTCCTCGGAGCCGGGGAGGTGTTCCATGCGCGCGCGGCGAAGGAGGAGGACCGTACCCCCCCAAAAAACAACCACCCCGTTTCCCACCTGCCCCACCACCACCACCCGCCCGCAGCCGCACAGTAC